CAACATAGGCAGACTGTGTTTTCTGACCATTATCACCAGAGTCAATGACCCATTTTGATGTGGAGGAAATAAGACATTTACTGGTGTTACCTGACTCAGCGATGACGGTAATCGGATTAGAGCACGATGCCGTCAATGACTCTTGATACTGTTGGAACTTAGCAAATTCTTCCGCAGGAATTGTAACTAACTTGCCAGCATTATCAGGAGTAGATGCAACATGGGCAGACTGTGTTTTCTGACCTTTATTCAATAGCTTTCTACATTCTCGTTTTGTATGACCAGGCTTATGGCAATAATTGCAAAAAATAATATCTCCTGAATTTGATTTTGGAGCACTAGAACGTTGAGCGTTTGAAGTCGTGGAATTCCCTTGGTAGGTATTACCTCTGTTTGACTGAGATGACAAGATGGGTTGTGACTTCTCAACTCGAAGTACTCGAGTGTATGCCTCCTCTAAAGCTGGAATTTCCGAACCAGAGAGTAATTGATCTTTGGCCACATCAAATCTAAGTAGAAGACCAAGAAGAAAACTGATAACTGCTCGTTGTTCGCGTTGGGCAAGCCGAACTTTTGCATCATTACTATCTGGGAGTAATGCATTAAATTCTGCATAAATTCGTTTGTGTTCCATAAAGTAATTTGTAAGAGATTGGTCATCAAACTCAGGTTGGTAGAAGCGCTTGCAGATTTCAAATATTCGACTAACATTTCCTTTTCCAAAATAAAGGAATTCTAAATATTTAAGCAACTCTTTCACATACTTGCATTCATTGACCAAGCCAATAATGTCACCCTCGATTGAATTCTTGATCTGCAGAACCAATCGAGCATCATCCCGCAACCAAGCTTTCTTGCTCTCATCCTTAGGCGGATCCTCAGTTATGTGATCGTCCATATCAATACTTCGCAAAAAAAGACGAACATTGATTTTCCATGAAGAACATTGATTTTCATTGGGATCACCTCAGAAGTTACGATTGATTTCTTCTCAGCCATAACAAACAAGCGAACTTATTTGAACAAAACGACAGAACCAGACCAAACCACCAAACCAAACAAAACATATGAATCAAACGGTTGGAACTAAATCAGATTGGGTGTTTTCTGAAACCAGAAACCCTAAGTGCTACCCCACGACAACCAGAGGGGCGAAGGTGATTGGCGGTGACGGAAGCGCACTGCGACGAAGGTGCGAAGGACGGCGAGACGAAAGCCACGAATAGCAATTGGAAAACAACTGGCAAATCAACAAACGTCGGCGGCGGTGATCGGCGGCGGCGACGGTGGTTTGTGTTGGATAGCAATGAACAAAACCCTAAGGCACAAAACCCTAATGGGCGCAAAACTCTAATGGGCATCAAAACCTTAATGGGCAAGAAACCTAGAGCTCTGATACCATGTAGAGACTAAGGTTGGAGAGAATCCAATGTTATCTATTCTCATTATTAAAGTCTATATACATAGACAAATATACAAGGTTGACCTAATCCTATAAGGAAAAGGTAATTGAAAAATTAATATTAATACAAGAATATAAAATATACTAATATATACTTTAACAAAGTCCAAGCTCCGTGAGATTAGATCGGACATCGAGGAGATGATGACAATGATGCACAACTTTCTAAGGGTAATGTATGATTAATGTTGTAATGCATAGTCTGATGCACCTGTTCGTCCTGAACCTGATGCTGAGGGGACGATTAAGGGGACGGCCATATCGGGTGATATTGACATTGAGAACATTGATTGTGTTCGAGATAAGCAGGACATACAAGGCGCCGAAGAGTTTGATCGGGGCAACGACGGACCAGGACGCTCGGTGGAGAAAGACAGAGTGGACGACGTACTTCACTATGATTGGACGTTGATGTGAGTGGAGTGCTGACAACTAGGGGCATGAACACCGCCCAAATTGTTGAGCCGTCAACGATGTTAGAAGTGAATCTCTCTACCACCGGCACTGTCTAGGTAGGACTCGATAATCCATGTCCTACAACAACTGATGACCCAGCATCGCATGATCAACCACCCCCACTAATCCGCCCAATCCAAGTACTGGTGAACAGTAGAGCAACGTAGTAGACGACCCCTCAACGACTGTGACTATTGAGGCGAGACCTTATCAGCTTTATCACCAAGCTACCGTTGACTCAACATCACACCGGAGAAACTTTAGCAGAAACCTGTATTTCTTGGCTAGCATCATGTTGTCCGACGAGGCAAGCAGTCCCATGAACTACAACCATATCTCGTCCGTCGGAGAAAATGAACTTCTTGACGCTACAGAAGCTGCACTTAAACAGACACATGAGGAAATCAAATACCTTAAGCGACAGCTTTGCATAACGAAGCACGATCTCAACAACAAATGATACAGATTAACTATGATGGAGAGGACAAGGGATATACTGGAAAGGCTGCTCAAGGAGGAGCGCGAAGCTAGATTACGTCTCGAAGAGCAAGTAGCTAATCTACAGTCACGCATTTTTGCGTTGGTGCACTCCAGATGAATTAATGTACTAACGCAGGCTTCTAGTTGTTTTGTATTAATGTACTCGGTCTCAATATGAACCAATATTATAACTATCGTTCTCGTTATCCAGCTCTCGTTCTCACAAATTATCGTATTACATAATATTATAACTCTCGTCCTGTCTATTCACCTTCATAATAGATGTATGGATCGTAACGTCGTATCTACCAATACAGACAGTTGCATTTTAATGGTCATGAGGCTGCTATATATATATATAGTAATACCACTAACTACTATGGTTGTCAAAATCGGAACAAATGCCTTCTTCCTGAGAGAAAGTGTCTTCCCAAGAGGCAACAAGCCCACTAGCAATACCATCTTCATCAGTGGGAGAAAATAGTCACGAATACCCCACGGTTCGTAGGTTAAGAGCGTTGGAGGAGGAAATCCGTAGATTGTAGAGAGAACTTAATGCCGTCAGACTTGAACTACGAGAAACAAATTTTTTGACTCATGGGAGAAAGGGAAATCGTTTCCTTGATGGAAAAATGGGTTTAAGATGAACAAACCCTTGTTACCCAACGCGAGATTAAGAACAGACAACTTGCTGCAAAAATTGTAGAGTTGGAGGCGCGCCTCAAAATATTGGGGTGAATAGATGTCTACGGCATCGATTTCTTCTTTTTATTCTTATGTAATCTCCTTAATATAAATTTGTTAGCTCCTTCCATTAACACCTGATCATGATCTTGTAACCTTCGCAATTTCCACCATTTTAATCATCGTAAAATGCAACTTGCAAAACAAATATGAAAATTATAATATTGGGAAAAAAAAACCACAAAACTATACTTCTCGCTCTCACTCTGATTCTTGCTCTCGCTCTCGTCCAGAATTCCTGTGACACGGTTTCCACGCACGCAATGATAAATGTAGATATAACGTTCACCTAACAACAAAATAATCAATGCGGTTTTAAAATATACAATCATTGTTGCACTCAACATCCAAACATGCTGGCTCATGCTCTCGATCTCATCCACACTCTCGTTCAGTCTATCGCACTTTCCAATTAATAATCACCATCAATTCATCATAACGAATTCTAGAACAAATATAAATAAACAGTATATTTGAAGAGAGAAAAAGAAAACAAGAAATTAACAGATTTTAATCTCGTTCTTGCTCTCACCATCGCTTTCATCCTCTCACACGCTCGCCTTCTTGCTCTCGTCACTCACCCCAACAGGCTTTTTATCTCACTCTCGTTCTCGCGTCTCTCGCTCAGTCGCTCGCTCTAGTTCTCTCTCTTCTCCATAAACGTCCCCACAACTACTTCATCGTAGAACCATTAAATGCGCTAGGAAGATGTTGCACGCAATTACACCCAATTAATGCTTACCAACACAATTCAATGTATATATTAAGTGACGCTTCGTCTTATATATACCACATACATATGCATTATGGTTTTATCATTTCTACTGTCTGTGGGAAAGACAGAAAGAATGTATGAGGGCAGCAGTGGACTGAGAGTAACCATGGCGGATCCAGATCAAACATTCAAAGACAAGGGGGTCAAGTTGCAAGAGGAGAAGAGAAACCATCGAAAAACAAGGAATATGTACATCGACTTAGAACGTAAATGTCATACATTCGAAATGATGGCAAGCAAATACTGTGCAGTGGCAGATAGGTTGGAGGAAGATAACAAACAACTACAAGATAGAGTGGCAGCATTGGAGGCCCGTTTGCACGATCTGGGGGAATTGTCGTCGTAGCTATACGTTTTATGTTTCTTTTTGTTTCCGTCCATAATTTTGTTATTTTATGTACTTTGATAATTCTGTTTCCTCAATGTATTTCATTTTATTGCCCTAGCATATTCCAATAGATTCAATTCTAACTCTTTCGTTAATTCAATAATCCGAATCCTATGTTGACCCAGAACAAAAGGGGAAGAAATTTCATCTGTCGCGTAATTTGGAAGTCCATATCTATAGAAAATACACATGTCGTTATAGTTTAAGCTCTTAGTCCCGTTCTCGTTCTTGTTATCATCCCGCTCTCGCTCTCGTTCTATATCTTTGTCTCGTTCTCGGTCTCGTTATAGTTCTCTCTCGCTCTCGCTCTCATTCTACCTATCGTTCTCGTTCTTCGTTCTTCTCTTCGTCTTCCTCTTCGCTAGTTGTCTGCTCTCCGTACACCTTCCTACGACCTCACCATCGTTAATCACGCTAAACTACTAGAGATACATAAACAAATAACTTAATTATTGAAATTAAACACACCAGCACTCGACATCACACCGACCAAATAGGGCGAGGAAAGAGGATAGGGGATGAAGAGAGAATACGACAAACGAATTTTCAAATGAAAAAAAGCGAGGGAAAATCATTTTTCGGGTTTTTGAATTAGTTGGATATTACACAAGTAAGTGGACGGGTAGGGTAATAATTTGGAATGGATGGTGATGTCAACGAATCCAAACATAAAATTGGAGAGGGGGCATATTTCATAATGGGCCTTTGAAAAAGGCTATTCAGCCCAAAAGCCCAACTTAATTTCATCCATAATTCAACACTATTTTCCATCGTCTTTAGGCTCAATACATCTGATGTAGAACAATGCTGGTTTTGAATATTCCCTTGGGACAGCTAACAAAACCACAGATGAAACGAGCAATCACAAGAACAATGAGGAACACAACCACAAGAATTGCCAAACAACTCAAAACAAATGACACAAACTTCTTCATCTTCATTCTCCAACAATTCTCATACCATTCATTGATCTCCTCAACCATCGCCCCCAATCTCATATCATAATACATCTTGAATCTTTGAACAAACTCACTTCCACTTCCAACACCCCCAATATGGATTTTCAACACGCCCTGTTTCTTCAAGCTGCTGCTAGAGTTCTCCACGCCATTAAAGACCTCCACAGCTTCCTCGTTGTAAACAACCTCTGCTTTCTCCAGAATCTTCAAGTCTCTGGAATCTCTCAATAACCCATTCATCAGCGCAATGTAATTGACCAAACAAGGGGGATTCAGCTCCGCCATGGCTTCATATGCCACAAGATTACTAAGCAATACTTGAGAGAACCCATCAAGATAAATACAAGGCAGAGTTAAAGTGAGCCTTCTCCGGTTCAAACGGCACTTCAGAATGCCATATTTAGTGGATTTGAAAGTCACTCCAGCAGTTTTTAACTCTGATACAGAAGGAATTAGAGGGGTTTTTTTCTCAGCCAGATTTGGCTTAGTTACAGAACCCAAAAGTCTGAACAATCGTTGTATTAAACTAAAGGCCTCTTTCAGTTGCTGAAGGAAGGCTATGTTAATAACAGAGCCCAAAATGTTGAAGCACTCACTGAGGAAGTTAACAGAAGAATAAGTCTTCCAATGCGTACACGTTCGACTAAAAGGAGCCACGGCCATCTGATCGGGATCAAGCAAAACCAGCCAATACAAAAAATGCAGCAAATGGTGAGACAGATTGTAGATCTCTTCATGAAATCCCATTCCAGGCTCAAACTTGGGAAGCTCAAACGGAGAAACAGATGCAGAAATTTTGTACAAGAGATTAACCAAATAATTAGTGGGTTGTTTGGGGCAAATTTCTTTGAGGACAAACAGAGGAATCTGATTCTCAAGCTTCAGTATATCACTAACAATCTCAAACTCAGACGCTAAATTCCCATAAAAATTCTCTAGAGGGAGCTTAAGGGGACGACAATTATACCTATTTTGAAGCAGTTCGAGTAGAAATAAACCATCAATCAGCAAAACCCAGGATAAGGTTTCGGCATCCATTTCAAGGGATTGATCGAAACTGGCTCGGATTTTGAGGTCCAATGACTTGAGCTGATCCAAGAGAGGATTGAGCTGAGGACCCCATTTCTGATTCTTGGCTTTGCCGATTTTGAAGAGCTCCATTTTGTAGAGCTCCGGCCGGAAATGGTGGTACGGCCCCACCGCGATACGGCGGGGGAGGTACGCCTCTGGGTCACTGTTGCGGGCGGAATCCGGCAACTGGAAGACGGAAATGGTGGTCTGTGAAGCGGCGTCGAGGGCATTTTCGTCAATAAGCTCATTGAATCGATTCATTTGAAGAACCCACTGAGATTTCTCGAGGGTTCCGGCAGGAATGGAAGCCATTTTGGTTTTGGGTGAAGATCAGAAACACATCCTGGAGAAGACAAGAATACACATTAAGTACACTCTCTCTTTGTAGGGAGAGGGAAATAATTCTGTGCATAATAACCAGCTCATCTTAGTGTAGGAATAATCTCTTAAAAAAAGATCTCCCATTAGTTTACGCAAAAATTGGTGGAAAAATACTATTAAAAGAGACCATGTTGGTATTGTATTTGTGTCCTCCAATGCTTGCTATTAAAAAACATCTCCCGTCCCTTTACTTTAAAAATGTTTATTAATCATGTACTTTTAAAAGGGTTCGTTCTTGTGTCTGTTGTTAATCTACCGTTAAATAGTTAATAGATAGATGTCGCAACATTTTTCTTAATCCTCTTCGACTCACTCATTATTGACTTCAACGATTTCCAATCTCCCCATTATCATTCAACCAATTGATTTCTTTCAAATCTCTATTTTCTTAAAGAAATAAAAATAAAGTCGGATTTGTTAAGGCCTCCCTATGAGTTTTTGAAATTTCTTAAGGGGTACGTGGTGGAGAACACTTCTCTAGGTAAAACTCCGAGGAGATGTCCGACGATGCTATTATGTTATATCCGGCGACGTCTACGGGAACCTCCTCTTCTTTTTGGCCATGCAATTGCTCAAGGATTGGTACTCGAGAGTTCAAATCGACGTGGTGGCTTCGACCATGGGAAAACTTATGCAGTGAACAAAAATGTGAGATGGTCAAAAGTCAATGATCCGAATGATTATTGTCCTAAACCAACATACATTGACATGGGTGGATTGCTCAAGGTTGGTTCATATCCTTGCAATAGTTGGCCTTCATCAAATGTTTGTTCATTTTTATATCATTATATCTCTCTAAAAAATTTGAGAAAGAAAGAGAATATGGATCCTATCCCTTGTATCTAACACTAGATCTTATATATTAATCAAATGTTCTTCGTCAAATACCACGTTTTGCCTATTTTTTACAATCAAAAGCACTCAAAAAAAAAATGATCACCATTCATAAAGTATTTATTAAAATTATCTGCTCAAAAAATGATCACTATTTCGTAAAGTATTGATTAAAACTATCTACATCAAATAGAAAGACATATTAAGATATATACGAACATTAAATATTAATTTTATACTCTACCTCTATATAGATTTAAAAACAGTTTCTGGATTTGCAAATCTTCTTGAATTCTTTGATAAAATAAAAAATATTCATAGGCATTTCGGGAAAAGAAAAAATACACAATTTTATATATGACCAATACTTGTTTTCTTTCAGTTTATAAATAGTTTGTAATCACACCTACATGGCAATAGACATATCGTTTCGTCGAATAGTCACAAAGATTAACTTCTCTCTCTAAAAAAGGTACTCGGTCTTCTGGTTTTATATAAATAATTAGCGATCTTGATCACACCCACATGCGAATGGACACATTGCTTCTCTCTCAACAGACATGACCTGAACAGTTATAGATATGAAGGGTAAAATGAGTATTTATTGAGATATTAAGGACAAAATAAATAGGCAAAGGTTCTTCACCATAGCCGCATCTTAGAATATAGATTACAGATATAGATTTGGAGGAATTAGAAACTTTCCTCTCTTTTATGCTACTTGATTTATTCTCTATATTTATGTCAACTCACTAAATCTTATGTAATGTAACTTTATCATTAGTCAATTTTAACAATTCAACGATGAGAATATTATAACTAAAAATTATTAAACTATACCGGACTTGTTGGAACTTAAAAGAAAAAAAAAAGTAGGGACCATAACATATACTTAGCCTATATAATATTCTTAAAAGAAATTTCATTCACACTCTGACGTTAATATAAGTTTATTTTCTACGATAACGGTTCAATCAACATATATTCTAATTACTATTGATGTGTAGAAACTCACTTCATACACATTTGTTAGTAGTAATTGATGAATCAATTGCAAAAGTTTATCAAATTAAGTATAACTAAAAATAAGCTTTAAATAGTCAACCTGAGTAGAGCTTGTTTGATTAAGACATGAACTAAAAGGTCAAAGGTTCAAATACTCATCTCCACATGTTGGGTTGGGATTTGGATCTGAAATAGAAAAGAAAAAAAAGAGTGAAAGTCAAATAATGGACCAAAAGCCCAAAAACCTTTCTTTAGGTTTCTGCTGCGATACCCACAATAATATATATGTATATATATATATGTATGTACATGTTATTAACCATTTTTTTTAGTGGGGTCGTGTGAAACAAAAGCAGCCATGGATTTTTTTGTGCAGTAGATTTTTCGGTGATTTTTGTAGCAATTTTGTGGCGGCGGCTCAGTTATTGGCAGCACAGAAAGGGTCAGATCGAGATCGTTGTTTTGAGGTAATTTAGATCTTGATTATTCTTTGATTTTTCATTCATGTACCTAATTATATTGTGTTGAATACTTAGAAGCTATGAGTTTTTTGTTGGGACTTCTAGAGAGCGAATATTTGTGAGGGATATATTTGAGAGTGCTTGTATCCAATCTCATTATAGTGGGACCCGTATCTGAGCAGACGTAGCCCATAAACTGTTAGGGTAAACTAGTATAAATTTGTTGTGTTGTTTATTGCTTTCCCTATATTTCTCTTTGTATTTTGTGATTTGACTTAGATAACTAGATAGAACTTTGGAAGGGGAAATTATTTCGAGGGCCTAATTTCCCAACAAGTGGTATGAAGGTTGTAGTATCATGGGATCTAGTAAGAAGCCTGATAACTCTCCAAAAGAGAGTTATTTTATTAATAATTTGGGTTAATTTGTGCTTTAATGTGAGAGCATTTGTGTCTAAATTGCATGCTAAGTGAGAAATTGAGTGAAAAAGCTTATTACCACGTTTTAAATCCTCATGTTGTTGAATTTACGTAAGTTCCTACTTATTTCCCCTATTTTGACTTAATTGTGCAGAATCTGTAGAAGTTGTAGTGGAGCAGCAGAATTAGAGGAGAAGTGTTGGAGCGTTGCCAAGTTAGAGCATGTAGATGCTGGAGCATTACTTTATGCAGGAATTCCTAAGCAGAGCAGTAACACACGAGATTTCTACTTATGTTTGTACAACGCATGTTTTACTGGGTTTTGCCCTAATTTTCGGGAAAACTATAAATGCAACAAGATGGGGTTGTCTCATAATCAATCCTCAAGGAGGAAAAGATCCCAAGAAGAGAAATTACTCCCAATACGTGTTGAGACTAGGAAAGCTGCCCTTATTTCGAGAAGAAGCTGACGGGAGGAGGTTGGAACTGCTGGTTTCTCACTGAGCTTGAGGTTTCAGAGGATTTCTCAAAGTTTTTTCACCAAATGAGTTGTTTCTCTCTTTACCCATTGTATTTTCTCCATTTCCCATGAACTAAACCCCATTTTCGGGGATTCTTTGTTGTAGCTTGTGAACAAAGGCTTTCTAACATATTTTTGCTGCTGTTAAATAGATTTGATATAATATTTTCATCTTACTGATCTATGCTGGCCACATTTATTGGGTCGAACTCTTCTTTGGTGTCAAGGTAATAGCTATGAATAGTCATCGACTCYCGGGAAAGGGTAGAAGAATGGGACCTATTATGGGACATACAATGCATTACAGACGTATGATCATTACGCTTCAACCAGGTTATTCTATTCCACCTCTTAGAAAGAAAAGAACTTAAATCAAAATACTTAATAGCATGTCGATACATTTATACAAAACTTCTACCTCGAGCACACGAATCCACGAAATAATTTGATCTATGGACAGCATCGTTGTGGTAAAGGTCSTAATGCCAGAGGAATCATTACCGCAGGGCATAGAGGGGGAGGTCATAAGCGTCTATACCGTAAAATCGATTTTCGACGGAATGAAAAAGACATATATGGTAGAATCGTAACCATAGAATACGACCCTAATCGAAACACATTTGTTTGCTCTTGTATGATTTGGAAGGGTATATAGGTAGCATGTTTGCTCTCTTTGTGGTTAGTAACTTTTTCTAGTAAATTTTTGGATGCTTAGGGAATAAGGTCCACCTAACCATGCTTATAAACTATTCTTTATGCTTAGGTATTTAGCAACGGAAGTTGATATTCATTTTTGGGTGTCTCGGAAGGGAACCACGTCAGTTTGAGCATCAGCGTGCGATTTTATGCTAGAGCATCTTTTGTGAGTGAGTGAAGCATATAGTGATCCCTCGTACTCATATCATGTTTGTTTCCCTGTTCTGTACGTTTTGCTAAAGCATTTGTTTGCCCCAACATCTGTTATTACAGTATTTCTCTCTTAGAATTTCGTTCTATGTATTATAATATTTTACTTAGTTTTAGCTATACAACCACCGATTATCTTTTATTTGCATTTTTGGTATTCTTAACTCATGCTTAGAATAATATCCTTAGTCCTTGTGGATTTCGACTTGTTTATACTAAAAATCGACAATAATAGTGTACACTTGCACTTGCATTCACATGAGTTGTGGACATGCAACAAAGCTACATCACTACTTCGAGGGAGTGTTGAGATTTGATGGGAACAACTTCTGGTTTTGGAAGATGCAAGTGACATATCTTCTTACTTACAAGAAGATACACAAGACCTTGAAGGAACGACCGGATGCTAGGGAGTTGGGAGACCATGAAGACAACTGTGTCAAATACAGTGGGTAGTGGGAGTCTGAAATTTGCGGATATTTGTGACGTTGCAAAAGTTGAAGAGATCTGCTGGAAAGGAATTGGGAAGAAATCCGTATCCACTTTCAGAGGGGAGAATAATTTAGAATCAGCCTTGTTAGTTCAAAGCAAAGGAAAAGATAAAATAGAATATGGGAAAAGACAACAAAGGTGCAATCACGATAGTGAGAGTGGCAACGGAGACGTGGAGTGCTTTTATTGCCACAAGAAGGGATACATCAAGACATTTTTCAAGAAGCTTTTACAAATTATTTGACAACCCATTATTAAAAAAAAAAAAGAACAATTGTTTTTGCATTTGTCTCTCTTAGTTTCAAATATTTAGTTTCAAATATTTAATGGTAGTTAGGATAAGATAGCTCTTACCATTAAAGAGTCAAATATTTTCTATTCAAATAAATACCCCTATATGTTGTTGAACTAAAAAGAATCTACCAATCACTTTTTGCACTACATCTATCATTCCCTTTTTAACCTCCATTATAGTACTTCCAGGTTTGCGGTTCATTTTTTAAAAAGTCATTTTCGACTCTAGTTAGTTTCCACTGAACAATCACGCCAATTCTCATCACTCATTCAAGTAAAATTATTCAATGACATGTTTAAATCAAATTAATGGTGAAAGGTAAAAGTAAAACCTTTTTACATGTATATTTAAAATTAACCTCAAACAATTTAGACACATTTTGAATAATATTTAACTATTTTTAAATGTAGAAAAACTTGTCAGGTCAATTTAATCAAGGACATTTGGCATGGTTTATCTACCATAGTTACCAAAATATCTTTGAAGTATTTCTTAGTTTCAATTACAAAATGTTGTGCTTCCCACACCATATCCATCCTATTTGAAGATAAATTATTGAAGGGAGGTAATATTTTACACCATTGAATATATGAGAGAGAACTAACAAAAACAAGTCTCGAATTTGTATCTAATAATTACTAGCTATTAGAAAATTTATGAAGCAATCACGTTATAATAGATATTTTTATCTCCATCGAAATCGATCTCTCGAAGGTCTAGATTGATCCAAAATGGGAACTTCCCATCCATAATTATACATTACTTTCCATCGTCTTCTTAGGTTCAATACATTTGATGCAGAGCAATGCTGGTTTTGAATATTCCCTTGGGACAGCTAACAAAACCGCAGATGAATCGAGCAATCACAAGAACAATGAGGAACACAAGGACAAGAATTGCCAAACAACTCAAAACAAATGACACAAATTTCTTCATCTTCATTCTCCAGCTATTCCCATACCATTCATTGATCTCCTCAACCATCGTCCCCAATCCCATATCATAATTCATCTTGACATTTTGAACGAACTCACTTCCACTTCCAACGCCCCCGATATGGATTTCCAACACGCCCTCTTTCTTCAAGCTGCTGCTGCATTTCTCCACGCCATTAAAGACCTCCACAGCTTCCTCTTCGCTATTCAAATGGTTGTAAACAATCTCTGCTTTCTCCAGAATCTTCAAGTCTTTGGAATTTCTCACCAACCCATTCATGATCGCAATGTAATTGACGAAACAAGGGGGATTCAGCTCCGCCATGGCTTCATACGCCACAAGATTACTAAGCAATACTTTAGAGAACCCGTCAAGATGAATACAAGGCAAAGTTAAAGTGGGCGTTGTCCCGTCAAAACGGCACTTCAGAATGCCATTTTTGGTGGATTTGAAACTCACTCCAGCAGTTTTCAACTCTGATGCAGAAGGGATTTGAGGGGTTTTTGTCTCAGCCAAATTTTTTTTCGCTATAGAACCCAAAAGTCTAAACAATCGTTGTATTAAACTACATGTCTCTTTCAGTTGTTGAAGGAAGGCTATGTTAATAACAGAGCCCAAAATGTTGGAGCACTCACTGAGGAAGTTAACAGAAGAAGAAGAAGAAGAAGAAGCCATAGCCATAGCCGTTCGCCTATGAGGAACCACGGCCTTCTTAGGAAAAAGCAGAACAAGAAAATACAGAAAATGCAGCAAATGGTGAGACCGATTGTAGATTTCAGGCAAATCAGGGAAACTTCCTAAACAACCCATTTCAGGGTCAACCCAAGGAAGCTCAAGTGGAGAAACAGATGCAGAAAATCGGTACAAGAGAGGAGCCATATAATTAATGGGTTCTTCGGGGCAAATTTCCTTGAGTACAAACAGAGGAATCTGATTCTCAAGCTTCAGCATATCACTAACAATCTCAAACTCAGACGCTAAATTCCCATAAAAAATCTCTAGAGGGAGCTTAAGGGGACGGCGATTATACCTATTTTGAAGTAGTTCAAGTAGAAACAAACCATCAATCAGCATTACCCAGGATAAGGTTTCTCCATCCATTTCAAGGGATTGATCGAAACTTGCTCGGATTCTGAGCTCCAATGGCTTAATCTGATCTAAGAGAGAGTGGAGCTGAGGACCCAATTTGTCATTCTTGGCTTTGCCGATTTTGAAGAGGTCCATTTTGTAGAGCTCCGGCCGGAAATGGTGGTACGGCCCCACCGCGACACGGCGGGGGAGGTACGCCTCTGAGTCGCCGTCGCAGGCGGAAGCCGGCAGCCGGAAGACGGAAATGGGGGTCTGTGAAGCGGCGTCGAGGGCATTTCCGTCAATAAGCTCATTGACTTGAAGAACCCATTGAGATTTCTCGAGGGTTCCGGCAAGAAGGGAAGCCATTTTCGTTTTTGGGAGAAGCTCGGCCTTGCCTGCCTGTGTCGGAAAATCTGCAGCAACGAGCAGTGATGGGTGTTTTCCGTTTTGGAAATGTATAAAGGGATAAAATTTTTGTTTTTTCTAAAGAGATTTTTCCATGTGTTCTTTTACTAAAAGGCCCCTCTTCCATTCACGGAATAAGGGTTCTCCACGGTATCTTATCCAGATTTTTTAAAAATTCATTTAATCGAATGAAATTAGTAAATTTCTACTCGCTGGACTTATTTTTAAAGCAGTATTTAAAATGTATTTGAATTTTGACATAAAAAAGTTAAATTTTTTTAAAATTGAATTTACATGTTTTCACTATTTTCTCAGATTTTCGTTACCAACCACGTCGAAAGACTGTTTAAAACATAGATTGCAACTCTATTTACTCTATTTTAGTGGGAGAAGATCAAATTTTAATCGCATTACTCAAAAAAAAAAAAAAACAAAATAACATTCTTAGATAATATTAATTTTTTTTTGGTTTAAGTATAAGAATTTTTTTTTGTTAATAATTCTTGATTTTTAAAAATGTTTGTTAGAATTGACTATTGAGGATGAAAATTGAACAAGAGATGAGATTAGCTGATGGAGATTTTGAGGAGGTGGAGAAAGAAAATGAGAGCAGCATCTTCACTAAATGAGGTAAAAAAGATTACAAAGGATTTTATATTCTCACACCAATCCTTAATCTCACAAGAGATGAGATTAGCTGATGGAGATTTAGATGGCCGCGGCACATGGGTTGGACAAACTCCAATTTTTAGACTTTGACGTTAAACCTGTCTTTGAGAAATTTACACGACTCGGCTTCCTAAATATTCACCCTTCACATAACTTGTGTTCCAATACCTTAAGTCCTTCTAGCTTTCCTATAGAGTGAAAAACTTTCATACCTTTTTCACTCATATGTCCCAGCCTACTATGCCATAATTGGGTCTGGCTCGAATATCTACAACAGCTACCATGTCTTTGTCATTGTTGTTGACATACAAAGTCTATAGCTTTCTTCCATGAGCGATCACCATAGAACCCTTTGTAACTTTCCAATTTCCTTGACCGAAGGATATTTCACGTCCTTTATTATCCAGTTGAGCCCACGGAAATCAGGTTCTTCATCATATTTTGAACATGACGTACGTTGTGAATCTTCCAGACTGAACCGTTTACCATTTCTAAATTAACGTCACCAATCCCAGTGATGTTCAAAAGCTCTCCATCAACAAGATACACATTTCCATGATTTCCTGCAACATAATTCTCAAGAATGTCACATTGACTTGTTGTATGAAAAGACGCACATTAATCCACCACTCATGTGTTATGAGCGTCCTCAAGTGCAAGAACTAAATCGTCATGTATTTCTTCAGCAACAATATTTGCACATGTTTCTTTCCCTCAGCTTTTTTTGAGAATTTGCAGTTTCTTCCTACATGTCATAACTTACCACAATTCCAACATTATAGTCTGTTGTTTCTAGACTTGCTTATGTTGTTTATTGACTTTCTACATTTTTCATAGTCACTGTTATTATTTCTTCCTTTGTCCACATTCAATATTGTACCAGAAGTAGATGCAATACAAAAATCCTTTATGCAAATCTCCTCTCCATCTGACATCTATGAATTTCAATTTCTCTTTTTTACAATAATTTGAAATAGTTGCCTTCATAGGCTCCCAACTGCCAGGTAAGGGTCTCAACAACAAGATAACATTTATTTCATCCGTAAATGTTAAATCAACAACAACCAGTTTGTTAATCAACGCATGAAACTCATTTATATGGGCAGCCACAAATGTATCTTCATCCATCTTCAAATTTAAAATTTTAGTTGCGAGATACACCTTATTATTTACCGAAAGCTTCTCATATATTTTGGATAGTGTAGTCATCAGCCCAAGTGTGGTAGTCACCTTAGCTACGTTGTTGTGCACATTTTTTTGTTAATGTTACGCGAATCGTACCCAACACATTTATGTCCAACTTTTTTCATTTGACTTCTTCCATGTCACCTGGCTTATTGTGTAATGACAATTCCAATTCCTTGGAATGTAGATAATCTACTATATGATCCTTCCCATACGAAAAATCAGTCCCATAAAAAAACAATCAATTTATCTTCTCCAGTCATCGTTATTCAACCTTAGGCTCTGATACCAATTATTGTAAAAATGCAGCCAACTAATAATTATCTCAATCACAATATCATACAATATTTGTTAGCTAATCTCATATAAGGTTCTGGTTCCAATTAATGCAGAATTCAAATTTCAAATTAGAACTTACAACTTAAAAGATTAGATAAAATAATCTAAAACTTATAAGTAACAAGAACGATAAATAAAGATTAGGGAGAAGAAAATTAAACACAGGATTTATATTGGTTCCTCTAATGTGGGCTACGTCCAGTTCGGTGCTACCGTTTCAAGTTCAACTAAAATATTAGGAAGAATCTCTCAAAAATTTACAAGTATTTTACAATGATTTCTCTCAATTTTTCCTCACACAAAAAACGGTTACGAATTAGTCTACATGTCTTTCAAACTCTCGAACGAATACACAAGTATTAAGCTCTCAAACTCTCTCTTCTTGGAGACTTATTTACGACTCTCTATTTGTGCACATAAATCAAATGACCCATCTACCTCTATTTATAATAGATGGTATGACAAACACTAAAAGGGAAAGGGAAAATAAATAAAAAAAACTCAAACTAAATAGAACAAGGAAAAATTCAAAAAGACTTTTTCCCTAAAGGAAAAATATTTTCTCCTTGGTTTGGCTCCATCATCCCAATATTTGTGAGTGTGCACTATGATCCGTCGCAGCAAGAACATCAGAATAGGTGTAGGCTGTTTATCTCACTACTGCTTCTATAGCCTTCAATTTCTTATTCTTCTAATTTTGCTTCTCTTTCAAAAAATAACAATCTTTCTTTAGATGCCCTACTTCGTGACAGTAGCTGCATCTTACATTTGATTTATCTTTCTCATCTTGTTGTGGTTTTGAGTCTGTCCAATTATTTTTTAACTTTCTTTTCATAACGTGACATTCTGGTTGTGTATTGTCTCTTTTTCAATGAAGTTAGCTCACAATGGGTAGGGACGATTACTTCTATTACTAACCAGAAAGACATCAAATTCACCTTTAGATGCTTCCATTGCAGTAAAGGTAGAAGAAGCCGGTACGAAAAAACCTTGGAAAAAATTATTTATAGCGAGAAAGACATTTGTGGAGAGAAATATGTCAAAAGAAAGAAAAAGTTTTAGAACAAAAAATGAGGCTTTGCAGAAACAAAAATCTATTTTTAAAAACTATCTTTTTTTTTTTGAAATTTACATATAATTTTAAAATATTTTTAAAAAACAGAAAACAAAAAATTGAATGGTTACCAAACAAACTTCAATTTTAAAAACTAAAAATAAAAAACAATAAAATAAATGGTTATCAAACAAGGCCAAAACGAATGAATTTAATACCATCCAAATTAACCCTTGAAATCTTTTCAGAAATGATTTCACACATTTCACATTTAACTCCAGGGATAACTTCGGTGGCTTGGGGGCTCAAGGAATATCTTTGAGGTCTTGGATTCAAATCATATAGAATGCAACTCCACCACGCAATGATGCAATAACCCCTTGCTTGCATATATAATGGGGAGATATATGTCAATTACCACTAGCTAACCCCATTTTGGTAGAAATTCATCCCTTATTTGTTTCATTTGAATTATATGAATGTTTACAAGCTTCCATTTTTGTTCAATTGTTTGAACGGTTCTTCTTCAAATTTTCAAGAGTCTATTCTTCGTTTTAGATGTCCTTTTTTCTCAACATCTATTTTATTTCTATTCTGTGGTAGCTCTAAATTTGTAAGACAACTCTTATTTCTTCCCTTGATTCAACTTTTTTGACAATCATTAATCTTTTGGCGGTTTAATTAAAATTTCGACAACCATTATATAATATATATCTTTAATCTAATATACAAGATGATAAACATATACACGTCCAATAAATTATAATATACACATACTCCTTTATTACCATCGAGGGTAACTTGGTAAATTAACTAAGAAGAGAAATCAGAAAGCCACAATACTAGATGATTCTGATGCAAAGCCTCACCCGCAAGGAAATGAGCCGGTTTGTTACCCTCTCTTCCGACATGTATACACCTGAAAAGCGCAAAATTGTCAGCCAAATTTGAATATCTTCAATCCAGGTTCTGAATTCGTTGGTTCTGACCGAAATCCCATTGATAAGCTCAACTACTTCAAGGAATCCAACTAAAAACCAACCCGCTTAAGACCCAACCTCTCAGCCAGGCGAACTGCTTCACGAATAGCACATATTTCGGCCAACAGAGGGGAATTCACATTGTGGGATGAAATTAAAGCTGCTAGGATGGAGTTTCGATCATCACGAACCAAAACCCCAACCCCTCCCCTTTGATTTCGGACATCGAAAGCCGCGTCCACATTGAGCTTAACTGTTCCTTTCGAAGGAGGTTTCCAAATCGCCAGACAAGGTAAATTCTTTTGTGCCTCGTTAGTCTTTCTTCTTCGAGTTAAAAGCTCCATAGCATAATTTGTGATCCAATCGGATTCTGTGTGAACATCTGCAACGTCTATACCATTGTTTCTTTGGTTTCTGTCATTCCAATTCGCCCAACAAATGATGCCCGCTAAAAGCAATTCCTCTAGTGTTAGGTTTTCTCTCCAAAGAGCCCATCTATCAATGAAACTGCAGTTGCAATCGACACCAAGGCCCATCATCGCAGGAAGGGAAATGTCCCGAATCTTGCCCGCCCTATTGCAACCCACTAAAGCGTGGTCCGTTGTCTCATCCTCTTCAAGGCAAATAGGACAAACATGTAAGACATCATCTATCAACTTGCCAAATTCTTCTTTGTTAGAATACAATTGTGAAAAGCCTTCCAAAGGAAAAGCTTAATCTTAGAAGGAAGATGACTTTTCCAGAGGGTAGACCACAACCCCACTTCGTTGGTCCCACTAGTAGATTTTACCAAATAGGAGAAATTCATAGCTAATTTATATCCACTCTTGACTAAATAGTGACCCTGTTTGCTATAGTGCCACGTCCAGCGATCAACCCCACCGATACTACTGATCGAAATCCTGGATATTAACTCAACATCCTCATTACACACCACCCCCCGAAGCTTCTCCAAATCCCAGCTTTTAGATGGAGTAATAAACTCTGCCACCAAAACCTTTCTGTTCAGATTAGGATTGGGTGTTATAGGACGAAACATACTCTCTCTGAGGACCCAAGCATCCATAAAAATTCAATACTAGCGCCACCCCCAACCACTTTCCGCAGCCCATGACCAAGTAAATCCCTGCACCATAATATTCCTTTCCAAAAATATGAAGAGTGAGCAGCACCATCTGCTTGTAAGAGTGAAGAGTCTGGAGCATAAATACCTTTAATGCCCCGTGAAAGAGAGATGGGAACTTAATAAAACACCAAAGTTGCTTGGCCAGAAGGGCCTTGTTGAATAACTCTAGATCCCGACAATTAAGCCCGCCAACCTCTTTTGGTCTGCACACTCTCTCCTAGCTCATCCAGTGGATTCTCCTTCTGGATTCAGTTGAACCCCACCAAAATCTCGCCATTGCTGTAGTCATTTCGGCACAAAAAGTCTTTGGAAGACGGAAACAGCTCATGGCATATGTAGAAATTGCTTGTGCTACACTTTTAAGCAAAACCTCATTCCCTCCACAAGAAAAAAAGCTTTGCTCTTACTCCTTGAAAGCACCGCAGGTAGCCCTAAGTAGTCACCCAAATAGGGGACAAGAGTTATTCCCATCAAGGATTTTAATTAAATAGCTCTAGAAATCTTCTTTCACATTTGGTGAGAGCCAGAGAACGGACTTTTCAAAGTTAATTTGTTAACCAGAAGCCCTTTCATAATCACACAAAATCATCTTGATCGTATACAACTCAGTAATGCAGCTTTACAGAAAACAAGACTGTCATCTGCAAAGAAAAGATGAGAAATGCTTAGACTATCAGGGGTGATCGAGATACCTGAAATTCTCTGGACATCATGTGCATGCTTAATAGTAGCTGAAAGCCCCTATGCGCAAATGAGAAAAAAATATGGTGAAAGAGGATCTCTTGGGCGTAACCCTCGTTGAGGAATAATATTCCCTTTCGGGACTCCATTAATCAACACTAAGAAAGAAGGAGTAGAGATACAGTCCATAATGATGTCCACCCACTTCCTGTCAAAACCCATTTTCAGCATAATCTGTTTAATGAAAATTCATTCAACTCTATCGTAAGCTTTACTCATATCCAGCTTCAAAGTTGCAAAACCCTCCCTACCTTTCCGTTTACTTTTCATAAAATGAATACACTCATGGCCAACAATAATATTATCAGTAATTGCACGCCCAGGTAAGAAAGCTGACTGAAATTCAGAAATAATTTTATCCAAGACTACCTTTAGCCGGTTAGAAAGAACTTTAGTAACTATCTTATAAGATACATTACATAGGCTAATAGGTCGATAATCAGAGATGCACCTAGGCTTAGTTACCTTAGGAATAAGAGCAATATGAGTTGAGTTCCAAGGCTTTATAGATCGCTCACCATTTAGCAAGGCTAGGCAGTTAGCAACCGTTTTGTCACCAATATTTTTGATAAAAAAGAGCAGGAAATCCGTCCAGACCTGGGGCCTTCGTAGGATGCATTTGCTTCAGAGCCTTCTCAATTTCAACCCGGCCAAAAGGAGCACACAACTGAGCATTCATCTTATCTGTTACTGAACGCTTTACATAGAATTTTGTTCATGTCCCCCATCTGAGGTTGTGTGGATTTAAATATTTCGTTAAAATAAGAAATAAACTCGTTCTCCACTAACCTTGTATCCTCGGTCCAGATGTTCTGATCAATCACAATCCCTCTGATCATGTTCTTTTGCCTACGCATAGAGGCACGTTTGTGGAACCATTTAGTGTTTCTGTCACCCCACTGTATCCAATTCTCAAAGGAGCGTTGCTTCCAATAAATTTCCTCTGTTTCAAGTAAGTCATCCAATTCACCTTCCAGCTTGTGAATTCTATCAAAATCCCATGGAGGAGGGTGAGAGTAAATGTCAGCCACTGCCTGGCGTACCTTTTTAATCTGATTCTTGAAGCCCTTGTTAATTCGACTGCCCCATTGCTTAAGAGCCTTGGAACACCTATCAAGACTAGCTTCTAGATTCTAGTTTCCTGTATCAATCTACCAATCACCACTCCCGCCAATAACTGACTCACACTCTGCATATTTTGTCCAAGCCTCCTCAAATTTAAACAATCTTTTCCCCATATGAATCTGCCAAAAACTGTCCCGCACTTCCAAATTAATAGGACCGTGGTCCGATTTTGACCAATCGGAATGGGACACTTGAAGGCCATTCCACAAAGCACGGAAAGCTTGCCCAAAAACCGATCTAATCTCTTCTGGATTTGGGCACGAGCATTCCTACGGTTGCACCAAGTAACCAGGCAGAATCATCTGAATTGTGGAGACGACGAATTAACTCCTCCCAAGTGTGAATCCTTTTGTGAGTTTTTGGACTCCCATAGATACCAGAAAATCGAAAAACTCTCTGATTCCAGGAAATTGTAGCATCAATGTGAAAGCAAGAGTAAGAGCGAATGTGAACACATACTTCCTTCTTCCATAAAAGGCACAAACCCCCGCTCTTACCATTACTGTCAACTACAAAACATCCTTCAAAAGACAAACGAACTTTTAATTTATTCAAGAGACTACCATTACACTTAGTTTCAGAAAAAAAACAATATGAGGATTAATGTGACTAATAATGTCACTCACATCACGGAACGTCTTGGAGTTCCCCAACCCGCGGACGTTCCAGTATAGGATTTTCATGGTTCCCGGCAGGGCTGTGTAACAGCCACCACCGATAAAGATTTTCCATTGGGCTTCTTTTCGTCACCTCCAATACTGGGTTTAGCCCGCTTGCTAGCTACTACATCCTTCATGACAGTCTTCTTTCGTTTTTTTCCCACCAATGTTGATAATGAGGAGGCCAAAGCCTCCACGGGCCAGTCTTTTCCAGTTTCTAACATAAGTGGGCTGCAAAAGACCCCCAAGCTTCAGGCCCAAATCATCCCGAACTGAATGAGTTATCTCATTTGATCCACCTGGCCCCTCATTAATTATTACCTCAAATAACTCCTTATTTACAGCACCTCCCTCATTGGAGAGTGAATCCCGTGCCAAGAAAACCTGCTTTGAAGGAGCATTTATTTGGAAAGATCGTGGTTCACTATGGAAATTCATGGACAAACAATTAAGACCATTAATGACTCCGTTATTTGTAACGTTTTCCCCAAATCCAGAATTCCACCAACTAGCTCGCCGCTTAGATCGCCGGCACCTCATTGGAAACTCCTTCGACCACCTCATAAGCCGGTGGTTGATGTACAGACCTTGTTCCATGGCTGGAGGAACGGTCTGGAGACGATTCCCGCTTTCGCGGCTTAGATAGACCTCCGTTCCCCTACCCTTGAAAACGAAGCCAAGCCCCGTACTGCAAATATTCTGCTTTCACTTTCTCAGAATCATCAACATTTGAATCACAAGTTTTAGCTAGATGGCCAATCATCCTACAACAATAACAAAAGTCTAGTAAACGCTCATACTTGATTGGAACCCAACATCCACCCATAGGACCATCAATATTGGTCTTCACACCTCGTCTCAAGGGTTTTGTTATGTCAAATCTCACTTTGACCCTCAGACTTTCCCCCCAACAGCACTCATCAAGATCACAGTCAACATCCTCACAAACCCCAATTGCATTGCCGAGAAGAGAAACCATCATTTTGTTCATGAAAGCCATCGGCAAATCGTAGAATTGTAACCAAAATGCCACTAATTTGAAGTCCAGTTCTGATAGTTTAATCAAATTTAGTGGCTTCTGGAGAACGAGGAGAGATTTATCAAAAGACCACGGTCCAGTTCGATAAACTTTATTCCGTATTTGTTCAGATCCAAATTGAAACAGAATCAAGTTTCTACCCAGGTTCTCCACGACCAATTGTCTCTGCAATTTCTATACCTGATGAAAACTTGCGTATTATCTCACATGAGATGAAACGATGGGACAGAAGCTTTCTTGCCACACAAAGTTCTAGTCGCTGTTCCATCTGTTTAGACCTCTTTAAATCAACATCCACTATAGTTTCTTCCTCTGCAGAAGTAAGCTGCAGCCTTTATTCCAATCCTCTAAAAAACCTCTGCTGCCATCGAAGAGATTCAACACCAGAAAAATGGAAAGGAAAAGCTGCAAACCAGAATCAAAAGACTTTGATCAAAACAGTCGAAAATTGGGAGGAGCTCTCATACCAAGGCAGAGAGAATGTGGCAAAAATGGATCCTGCTTTTAGTAACAATATACGCATACTCCTTTATTGGTATATACTAATAACTATTAGGTTATATAATATTTACCTTACCACAATCTATATGTAGTATATAACCAATATATATATCATATCAAATAACTTCATATTATTCCTAACACTATCACTATGAGATGTCCACATAACAATACAATTGTATTATTTAATATTACAAAGTTTATGTAGCATATACAAAAATATACTCCATATAAGTAACTTCATATAAAATAATAGAACCATTGAAGTATTATTTAACATTACAAAGTATATGCAGCATATAACCAATATATACTTCATACAATATGGGATTTGTTCATCATGCGAGATGCTCAAATGATCGGTAGTGAAATTCAATACAAAAATGATGATAAAATCAAGGAAATTACTACGAAATTGACAATGAAATATTTCCAATAACTTAAAAAGATAAAAACTTATTTAAAATAAAATTATAACACAAACTTCTCCGGAAATGGAATTTTCACCCTAAACTTAATAAATTTTCAAGCAACAATGCAAGAAACCTTCACGCTAAAATCAATGCGAGCATAGTGTTAAGGATACTAATGAAACGCCGGTTTCAATGATAAACATTCTAGAAGAAGTGTCACCTCACAACCATTCTAGAGTCTTATTCAAGAGAATTGCAAAGGGAGTATTTTGCAAAATTGTTTGCCTACAGTCACTCCTTGTTACCATTTTTTACATTCTTTATTGATATTCTTTATTTCCAGAAACCCTTATGAAAAAGGAGCACAGTGTAGTTAAATACAAAACGTTGTTTGCTCATTTGAAATAACAAGAAACAAATATGCAATTCCTATTTTTCTTGAATCGTGTTTTGGTATCAGAGCCACAAATGGCCAACGCTTCATTCTCGAGCAATGCTACGGTGACATCTGAGAATCCAACCTTCAGTAGCCCACCGCTTAATCAGCTCTTGAATCAAATAACTTCAATCAAGCTCGATCGAGGGAACTATCTATTATGGAGAAATTTAACATCACCTATTCTTAGAAGCTACAAATTAGAAGTGCATCTTTCTGGAGAAACACCATGCCCACCAGAATTTGTGCAATCGATGGTTAATACTGCAACATCAATAGGAGCATCTAACTCTGCAACAACCCCAGCTGATATTATAGTAGCGTCAAGCTCAGCAACTTCACTAGTAGCGATGGTAAATCCTTCACATGAGTCGCGGATAGTTGTTAATCAACTTCTTATCGGATGGTTGTATAATTCAATGACTACTGAAGTGGCAACACAAGTAATGGGATGCGAAAATGCTTGAGACTTATGGCCAGTCATCCAAGAGTTATTCAGAATACAATCACGAGTAGAAGAAGAATACCTACTTCAGGTATTTCAACAAACTCGTAATTGTTCATTAACAAATACTGATTATTTACGTGTTATGAAGTCTCATGCACATAATTTGGGACAAGCCGGCAGTTTGGTGACCACCTCATCGCTAATTTCTCAAGTCTTACTCGGATTAGAGAGGAATATAATCCGGTAGTTGCTACGATTCAAGGGCGATTTGGGATATCTTGGGTTGAAATGCAAGCTGAACTTCTCGTATTTGAAAAAAAGATTAGAATTACATAACTCTCAAAAGAACACAGTGGCATTCCACCATACTACTGCAATAAACATGGCTAATAGCAAAACTTCAAATGGAAGTCAGAGAAAACAATTTAACAACAATCAGAGGGGTGGGGGAGGCCGAAATCGGGGCAGAGGAAAATTGAACAATAATGGTAACAACCGTCAAATTTGTCAGGTTTGTTGAAAATCTGGTCATTCTGCCTTTTGTGTTGGCATAGATTTGATAAACAATTCTCAGGGTAACCAATTAGAATCAAAACAAAGGCAATAGCTCCAACCTTCAAAAGGTGTTTATACAGAATGGTGGTAACCTTCAAGGTAAGACCACTCATGCCCTGGTTGCAACATAAAATACTAATCTATTTGTTGCAACTCCTAAGATAGTGATCGACCCAAGTTGGAACGTCGATAGTGGAGCCTCAAACCATGTTGCGTCCGATTGTAATAACTTTGTCAAGCCTACTAAATATTGAGGAAAGGAAAAGGTAACGGTTGGTAATGGAAACAACTTGTTGATTTCTCATATCGATAAATCATGTTTAATCTCTGAAAATAGACGACTTAATCTTGAAATGTGCTATGTGTGCCTGAAATTCCAAAGAATCTTGTCAGTGTGTCTAAACTTGCTCAGGATAATAATATTTATCTGGAATTTCATCCCAATTCTTGTCTTGTTAAGGTGGTGCTGAAGAGGTCCTTAAAGATGGACTTTACAGATTAGACACAGTAGGATCAATCATTGGTAAAGCTTCAGACTAATTTCAAAGCGGTTTGGAGTCGGCAAGCGGTTCTTATGATCATTCTGCTTTACCGTTACCTCATATAGATACTGATGTAAATGTTGTGGTGTCTAGAGTTCTTTGGCATCAACGTCTTGGACATCCGTCCTAAAAATTTTTCGATACTATAATTAATTGTAAGTTAATAGTGAAAGTAAATGATAAGTTGAATTTTTGTGAAGAATGTCAATTTGGTAAATTACATTCTCTACCTTTTCCGATATCAAGTACTCGTATTGTTGCTCCGTTGGGGCCCGCTCCAGTTACTTCAAAAGAAGGCTATCGGTACTATGTTCATTTCCTAGACAATTTAGCCGTTTCACTTGGATATGTCTGTTGATGTTAAAAAGCGGTACGTTTAGTATTTAATAATTTTATTGCCATGGGAAAAACTAAATTTGGTGGAGTAGTAAAAATGGTGCAGTCTGATAATGGTGCAAAATATAATCGGCTGCATCATCTTTGTTCTCAACTGGGTATTCAGTCACGATTCTCTTGTCCATATACGTCTGCTCAAAATGGACAGGCAGATCATAAACATCAACATATTATAGAAGACGGGTTTAACAATACTAGCCCAAGCCTCCATGCCATTGGAGTTTTGGGGGATGCATTTCTTACGGTCACGATATTAAATAATGGGCTTCCTGCTTTGGTGTTAAGTGGTAAATCACCCATGGAATTACTGATCTATAAACATTTGAATTTTGCAGATCTCAACATGTTCGGTTGTGCATGTTTTCCTTATCTTCGACCGTTCAATTCACATAAATTTCAATTCCATACTACTAAATGTGTCTTTCTTGGCCCAAGCCTATCACACATAGGGCACAAGTGTTTAAGCCCAGAAGGTCAGATTTTTATTTCTCAGTATGTACGATTCAATGAAGACAAATTTCCATTTGCTTCTGGATTTGGAGTCGGTCCAATTAAATTGTCTGACCAGTGTCAAGCACTATCTATTTTAACTTGGTTTCCACCACCATGTCATCAACCTAATGTTTCACCATTATCTCTTACCCAGCCCAATTCACCATTGTCTACTGCCCAGTCCAACACTTCACAACCTCACAATAATCAGCCCCCATCTCTTCAACCTCCTTCACATGGCTCACACCCAATTTATGTTAAGATCAATAGATCAACCACTTGCCCACCCAGCACCACACGTGTCCCCTACATCTTCAAACCCTTCACCCGTGCTCTGTTCTCCTCCCTCTTCCCCACTTAGACCGCCACCCCAATTCGATGTTCTTTCACCCTTGCTACCTTCATCATCAAATTCACCCATTCTTCCAAACCTGCTGCCCGCTCCTCCACCATCTCCTCCAATGGCTCCTTTACCGTCTCATCTCATGATCACGAAAGGGAAAACTAGAATTTTTAAGCCTAAGACTTGGGTCACTACGACTACGCAAGATTGGACTCTGACTGAACCATCTCGGGTGAAAGATCCCTTGGCTACACTGCAATGGAAGGCAGCGATGGAGGTCGAATTTCTGGCTTTCATGAGAAATAAAAAAGTGGCATTTTATTCCTTCTTCTCCTTCTTTTAATGTTGTTGGCAGTAAGTGAGTATTTCAAATTAAATGCAACTCGGATGGCACGATTAATCGTTACTAGGCTCAGGTGGTCGCTAAGGGATTTCACCAAAATATCGGGATAGATTTCTTTGAAACTTTCAGTCCCGTTGTGAAAGCTTCAACCATTCGAGTAGCTCTCACCCTTGCCATGACCAATGGTTGGGTCCTCCGACAACTTCATTTCAACAACGCGTTCCTGAACGGGAGACTAGAATGAAGATGTGTATATGTAGCAACCACCTAGCTTTGAGGATTCTCGTTATCCACAGTATGTCTGAAACTTGATAATGCTACATATGGGTTGCGGCAGGTGCCTCGAGCTTAGAATAACACCCTAAAATCTGCTCTGCTCTCTTAGGGTTTTATGAAGTCACAATCTAATACGTCTTTGATCATTTATCGCCAAGGTACCTCCCTAGTATTATTCTTGTGTATGCCGATGATGTGATTGTGACTGGTAACAATGATCGCTTAATTGCTAGCTTTGTTTCTGAATTGGATACCAAATTTGCTTTGAAAGATCTTAGTGCTATCAGTTATTTTCTTGGTATTCAAGTCCATTCCTTACCCTCTGGACTTGTCATAAATCAATCAAAATATGTGGATGATCTAAGCTTCAATTGGAGGATCTAAAATCTGCTCATTCTCTTTCTGTTGTGGGCAAACACTTGTCTCTTTCTGATGGTCAACCAATGGCTGATCCGACGTTGTATTGGAGTAAGATTGGGGCCTACAATATCTTACACACCCGTCCTGACATTGCTTATATTGTAAATCATTTCAATCGGTATCTCAAGCAACCAATTGATGTGCACTGATAAGCTTAGCAACCAACTGATGTGCAGTGAAGCGTGTGCTTCAATATCTTGTCGGGACTAAGTCGATGGGTCTGTTTATTCAACTTTGCGATACTCTTTCAATTTCTGCCTTTTCAGATGTTGATTGGGCATCAAATATTCATGATGGGAAATCTGTGGCTAGTGTATCACTTGTGTCTTGGTTGTCTAAAAAGCAAACGACTGTGGCACGATCTAGTATCGGGTCAGAATACCAAGCGTTAGCTCATGCTTCGACTGAAATAGTTTTGTTAAAACAATTGCTCGGTGAGATTGGTGTGCGTCTCCCTTCGGTTCCTACCTTACGGTGCAATAACATAAGTGTCGGTGCCTTCGATTCTAATCCTGTGTTTCATGCGCGAATCAAATACATTGAAATTGATGTCCATTTCTTACGCGACCAGGTTATTCGGGGTGCTCTTGAAGTCTGATATGTGTCGTCTGTTGACCAACTAGCAGATTGTCTGACAAAGTCGCTTTCTCACTCCCAGTTCCATGCATTACGTAGCAAACTCAGGGTAGTTGATTTACCCCCTCGTTGGAGGGGGATGTTAAGCATACTAATGAAGCGTCTGGTTCCAATGGTAAACATTCTAGAAGAAGTGTCATCTCATAACCATTATAGAGTCTTCTTCAACCTAATCGCAAAGGGAATTTTGCAAAATTGTTTGCCTCCAGTCACTCCTTGACAAGTGTACAGATTTGTTACCATTTTTTATATTCTTTATTTCCAGAAACCCTTGTGAAAAAGGAGCACGATGTAGTTAAATACAGTTGTTTGATCATTTGAAATAACAAGAAACAAATCTCAATACCTATTTTTATTGAATCGCGTTTGATAGTATAGCTGTAATTGGCATATATCTTCAACCAAGATATTATGAGTTTGATCCCCAATTTTAGAAAATCATTTATTTATTTATTTAAAATATATCATGGTCAAATTAGTAATTAACATATGAATTCCGAGAGTGTAAATATTTGAGAACTTAGGTACTTTTGTACTTAACCCTTTAATGCAATCTCAGCCAGTTGACTTGCTGTGGAGATAAGCATTTCAATTCTCAACCTCACCAAAGCATGCCACATCTTCTCCCTATTAAATTTGGCTTCGCCCATCAAGGCAGATCAGAAAGGCAAAATAGCTTCAAATACATCCACATATTAGCTTTATTATATTCATCTTTCACAACTTTAGTATTTAAAACAATTCCAAATATGAATTTATGGGTTGTGGGCTCTGACTTTTTGAGTATTTAAGTAAATAGTATAGGTGGATATTTGATGTTAAAAAATAATAATAATATAAATAAGATACAAATATAATCTCAATTCCAACAATGTCATTTGGAAAATACTTAGATCCTCACCAATAAGGAACCTTGTCCTTATCACCAATAAATATTTGGTAACTCATTACTTTTCTTACTTTTACATTTCTATATTTTAGTGATTAAATATTTAAGGGTTAAATACAAGGTTCCTCCTTACCAGTGATTAGTCGATCATTTTTATTATTATTTACAGAGATATTTTACCTAAAAGTTTTGATACCTAGGAACTTGTAAAGTTTATTTAATAAAATTGAAAAATAAAATGTATATCAACCAACCAAATAATATATTTGGTCTCTAAAATTATAATTTTTTTGAACCTACATTCATTTTTAGAAGCTAGTTAAAGTAGGGATATTTTGGTAAATGCATGGACCACAAAATAATGTGTTTAGGTAGTGTTATTGATGTCGAAATCTAGCCTGCTGACATAGTCGTTGGAGATTGGCAATCCATGACCTTCAAGATTGAAACTCAATGTGTGGTGCTCTGCCTCATGTATACACTCTAATGCCTAAATCAGTTCGGACGAGTTAAGATAAGAGCAAGTGTATTTTGCAAGATGTTTTGCATTATTCTTTTGAAAAGAGTTGAACTCTCCTCCTTTTATAGAGGAGCATTTTGGGACAACGTACCACATAAGATTTGGGTTGTACTATTGGCAAGGAGTTACGACTAGTGATAGAAATACTCTATTTACTAAATCATACTTTCGTTGCTCTAAACACAGAGAACATACTTCCATCGAATATTAATGAATACCCCGCTGGTCGTTATTCTTTGCCCAAGGAGAATGAACAAACAGGATTGTTCATCTTAATGACAAACAAGCTTTCCTACCTCGAACTATCGGGTCCGGACTCAACCCTCAACCCACGTGTCTCTCAGAGATTTTCCCACGGGCGATATCATATTTGAGCCTACAACAATGTATGTTTTCGTGAATATATTTCTCCATCTAAGAAAACGTCCTCTCATTTCGATGCGGTGTTGATTCATTTATGTATTTTCCTTCGCTTAACAAAGCATGTCAGGAGCCACTCGTTGTCCGTGCTCCCTTAAGTGCACCTATATCCACTCGGGCCGGGTGTCACAAACATGCATACATATAAGTTAGCCAAGTTTACAAATTCATTACTACCATATATGCAAAGGCAAGGACAGGTGGAGTTCATTAAATTACTTTTTGCAACCCACCGCCTTGTTCGTCCTATAAATACCAATCCTTTTGTCTTTCTCAGCGAGAGAAATTATTATAGCACAGGAATCCATGGCTGAGTTGAGGTTATCGTCAATGGTGGCTGTTTTGGCAATGGTAATTTTGCTGGCGGCGGCGGCTCCCGGCCAAAATGAGAGCACATACGGCGGAGGTGGCGGCGGAGGATGGAGGAGGCCGATGGTGCCTGCCATGTTCATATTTGGAGACTCTCTAATTGATAATGGAAATAACAACAATCTTCCCACTTTTGCAAGAGCCAATTACTTCCCTTATGGAATTGATTTCGTTGGTGGCCCTACTGGTCGTTTCTCTAATGGATACACCATTGTTGATGAAATAGGTATGTATATGAAATATATAATATTCTTTCATATTTCATCTCTCTAAAAAGTTTGCATCAAGAACAAAAGAAAGTTACATAGAAAAATTGGCCTCTGCATTTTTTTTTTGTTTGGGAAATCTTTTTCATAAAGTAATTTTTTTTGTTTAAAAACAATTTTCGGTATTTTAAAATTGTTCATTTTGGTCACCCAAACCAAAACATCCTCTGATCTCAAATTTTAACATCACAATGGACTTTTAATACAAATTTATACGGGTCAAAATTATGATAGAAATAAATAAGATACAAATAAAAATGAAATTAGCAAAATTGTCCCTTTTAAAGGTAGGGATAAAATGGACATTTTCTTGCCGTCATAAAATCATAAAATAGGACTCAGTAGACCTAAAGATTTTTACTTGAACACAATATCATATGATACGTGATGCCAAATATCCTAACCCTTGTCAGTTGGGGCTGCACTTTAGAGGGGAAAAAAATTATGATTAAAAAATGATTAAATTAATATTAAAAAAAAAAAAAAGTTCAACACAATACAAAAGTTTGGGCAACGAGACCACAACATAATATTTAGCTAATAGAAAATCAGTTAATTGACTAAAATAAAACTGGAAGATAAAAAAATAGTATTCCAATAGGAAAAGTAAAACAATTAAATATTATATATTAATTAAGCGTTTAAATTTGTTCATAAAATTGATTTTAATTTTGATTTTGATGGGTGTTGTGTGAATAATTAATAATGCATGTGTGCAGCGAAGCTGCTAGGGCTTCCTTTAATTCCTCCGAGCACAGCTCCGGTAATGGGGCCATTACGTGGACTGAATTATGCATCGGCGGCGTCCGGAATTCTTGATATTACCGGAAGAAACTTTGTAAGATACTCATTACATTATTTTGAACCAAAAATAAAAAAATAATAAAATAAGTCGAAACGTTTTAAAACTTTTGAAATAATACGAATATTTGTATAGGAGGCGAAAAATAGAGATGATAGACTTTTTCCCTTTTTTTTCTTTTTCTTCTCTATTTCTCTCTATATTTTTGTTCTCATTCGTACTAATCTGTCATGTTGCGAGGGAAAATAGAGTAATTTTAGCTCACAAAAGTATAATCTAACGTTCACTGAAATAGAATAATTTGATAAGCTCAACATGAACATTGGAGTTAAAGTATCTTGTTCAATCTCTTGAGATTGGAGATTCAATATCAATTCTCACGTTTATTGTACTAAAAACGATTAATTTAATAAAATTAAAAGCAGTTCAAAATTGATCAATGAGAGTAAAACTTTAATGGTTCCAGAGATTAATTAATTGTAATTTGTAGATTAATTTAGACTGATTTTAATTTCCATGGATGACTTTACTACATGCCCCATGTGCAGATCGGACGCATACCCTTCAATCAACAGATAAGGAACTTCGAGAACACCCTCGACCAAATAACTGGAAACCTCGGCGCCGCCACGGTGGCTCCGGTGGTGGCTCGCTGCATATTCTTCGTCGGAATGGGCAGCAACGACTACCTCAACAACTACCTCATGCCCAATTACCCTACCAGATTCCAATACACCAGCCGCCAGTTTGCTGATCTCTTAGTTCAACGCTACACTCAGCAGCTCACTGTAAGATTCTCGATGGTTCCAATCGGCCTACCGTATTAAATCACCATTAAACTCAAAAGCTTAAACTAATAAATCTCTCCTCTTAAATCTCTACAAGACCTAAACACTTAAAAGCCAATAGAGTATGGTAAATTTAATTTTTTTTTTATGTTTCTTCCAGAGGCTTTACAACCTTGGAGCTCGGAAGTTCGTCATCCCCGGCATCGGAATAATGGGCTGCATTCCCAACATGTTAGCTCGGAGCTCTGATGGAAGATGCCTAGAAGAAGTGAATCAGTTGGGTCGAGATTTTAATGCAAACGTTAGAACGATGATCGACAACCTTAACACCAATCTTCCTGGTTCGAGATTCACTTATATCAACATTGCTCGCCTGTTTCAAGATATTCTCGCCAACCCTATGGCTTATGGTAAGCATTTTAGATAAGTTGTAGTTTTTTCCAATCGGGACTCGAATGCTAATTTAACAAAAAAAAAATGTATGGGTTCTATTTCAAAACCAATTGGTGATGAGAAGAGTAGCCCACTTATATTTTATTAACGTATCATCTTTTCAACGTGGATCCTTAACATATCCCTCAAGATAATACCTCTTTCGAGTTTACCAATCGGATTCCATTTTTGAACTGATGCTTGAGTTTTTTTTCTCTCTGATACCATATTAATATTTCATGGATTCCATCTCAAAATCAATTAGCAATTAGAAGAATAATTCACTTATATTACAAACCTTTATTATGTTTTTTTAATATGGGATCCTTACCACTTTACTTAGTGGAATTCGGGTTTACAACGTAGGATTCACAGTGGCAGATCATGGGTGCTGTGGGATCGGAAGGAACAGGGGGCAAATAACATGTCTGCCATTCCAGATGCCATGTCTGAATCGAGAGCAATATGTGTTTTGGGATGCTTTCCATCCAACTCAAAGAGTCAACATCATCATGGCAAGAAGGGCTTTCAATGGAGACCAAACTGTTGCTTACCCTTTCAATATACAGCGGCTTGCCACTCTTAATTAATCTCTAAGTGAAACCAACCAGCAGGGAAAACTTCAAGCTTCTCTTCACTTTAAGATTATAAACATATATATATATATATGTTTATGTTTGAAGATGGAGAAGAAAAAACATCAGTTCGTGCGTGTTGGTTGCAGTATATCCTACTTTTTTGTCGTGGGTTTTTTCATAATTGTTTTGAGTTTTAAATGTGTGTGTATATGGAGTGCTACTTTTTTGGATTTTGTAGAAATATCGTGTAAATATATTAAAGCCACTGTTCTGTCTTAATTATATTCACATTTATGTTGTCGAAAAGCTCGGTTATGGAATTAACAGTAAATGTCTTGAAAACGAACAAAGAAAATCATTGCACCAAAAGAACAAAACAAAAGATTGGGTATTGTTGGTTGTGGGCTTCGTGAGTTGAACGTCTCCCATCCACACACTCTCTCTCTCCTCTACTTGAGGAACCGTCCACATCTACACTTTCTCTCTCCTCTACGCTAGAAAATATACCCAATGTGATCGCTGCTAAGGAATTGCTCCTATCCCCACCCAATAGAACCTCTAGCCTCTATTACCGGGCCTTGGATACTTTCGCCCAGTGAAGAATAGACCTGATCGGATCACTTCCACAAGAAAAGAGACAAACTATGTACGCGGTGGCAGCGGTAGAATATTAAACTAAGTCAATCACCAACATATTCTCTACGCCTTCGTCATTGATAATGGGAGGTAGTTTGATAATTCAAGCTTTAGAGGCTTTTGCGACCAGTTAGGCATCCATCAGATTCGCTCATCTCCTGATTATCCTCAATCAAACAGCCAGGTCGAGGCACTGAACAAAATTATAAAGAGATGCCTGAAAGCCTGACTAGATTTCTTAAGAGGAAAATGGGCAGAAGAACTTCCCAGTGTCCTATGGGCATACCAAACAACGATCAAAACTGCCACAGGAGAAACCTGTTTTTCTCTAGCCTTTGGTGAGGAGGTAGTAATCCCGGTCGAAATAGGGCTTACATCTTCTCGACTGGAAAATTACGATCCTAACACTAATGAAGAGTTATTACAAATTCAGTTGGACCTATTAGAAGAACTACACAAGATGAGGCCAAACAAACGAATGGTCTTATGCAAGGAACACAGTTCACAATGGTACAATACCTAATTTTGACCCTCAAACATTTCAAGTAGGAGATTGCGTTCTCTGTAAGGTATTGTCTGGTACCAAAAACCATACCGATGGAGCACTTGGCCCAAGATGGGAAGGACTATAAATGGCACCAAACTAGCACAACTTAGGATTTATTATCTATCCAACTCAACGGAAAAGCCCTAGCTCACCCATGGAACATAGAACATCTAAAGTTGTATTATCCATAAGACATGCATAGGGAAAGAGGGAAAGAGAATGTTATGTATCATGAATAAAAATTTACCTTTCAGATTAAAGAAAATGGTACACGATGTTCATATTCAGTGCAACAAAAGCAAGAGCAATACAATAAGTACAAAAGAAAGCAAAGATAGCCACTACAAAGTCAAATCTCTAACACTACTAAAGTGTAAGAGGATGGTGCCCTTTGCAAATCAAAGAGCCCTTGGCAAATATTACGTTCGGGATCGTCAATAGTAAATTCCCCCCGCATGTTAAGTTGACCTATCTTCCCCCATATTTCCTCCCATTCTACTCATGGTCAATAGGGGAGTAGGAGCTGTGTAAGGCCTTGAGAAGCCAAAGGTGGGAAAAGGCACGCTCGGAAGAGAATAGTTTTGTAGGGTACCTGAAGAGACTGTAGTTGAAGGTGCCACTGGGGGTCGAGATCGAACAGAGGTAAATGGAGGCGTAGGTCGAGCCAACGAGCCCTGAGAGGCAAAATGGGGGAGAGAACCATCCTGGGAAGAACCGTCTATCCGACAATGTTGGCAGGATGGCAAGTTGGTCGTCCCAGACGAATCGTCTGACTCAGTGGTGGAAGCCGCTCGTTTCATTGACCTTCCAATTTGGATCGGAGACAGTTGACAAAAGAAGTAGGAGGCATGGCTATGGGTTTAAAATCTAACAAGTATCACAAAGTAACTTTGCTATATTACTATAACGAGAAATTAAACAAAAA